ACACTGAACTACTGGTAGCCACTCGGAATTAAAATTCAGAGAAGTACTTGGTGGGGATCTCCTAGAGTGAATGTTTGGGGCTGGAGAAAGAAGCAGGGCAGATGCCTGAAATAACTCCAGATATCCTAAAACATTACAGAAAAGAAAGGAAAAGAGGGAGGCAGAAAGGGGAAGGAAGGGAATAAAGGTTTTATTTATTCCCTTCCTTGCCCTGGCATTTCTCTATCAGAAGTGGAATATTTAAAAGAATGCTGGAACCAGAGGAGCAGTGGAGTGTCACATGTAGTTCGTGATCTCCAGGAGAGATGGGAAGGAACCTCTGTGCACTAAAAGACAAGACGCTCACAGACTACGCCCTCCTGCATGTCCTGTTTGTCAGCTGCAATGACTACAGGCAGGCTTTTATAATTAGAAACTAGTATTTGCTTTCAGGAGAAGAGGGACTCACCAGTACAAATATGAAAAGACAACCAAAAATGACCAAGGATTTTCGAAAAACTCGTACCATGAAAAAGAGCACAAATCCCTACCACCAGAAAAACTAAGATGAGGAAGCACTGTTAACAAAGGTGAGGGAAGAAAGCTTTAAAATAATTACTTGATCAATTCTAAGACACATTTTTTCTACATTTTAATCTCTCTGAAATCAAGATGTATCTTATAATTGACAGTATTTGACAATTAGTCAGGTGAGAGCTGTGACTTAGGAGTATGAAAATCTTCTGTTGATGCTTTCTGGTAAGATAAAGTACCACCCAAGTTATGTTACATTTGATGAAATAAAATAATATCTCCAAAGAGAATAATGTAAGTATGTATTCAAAAGCCAAAAAAAAGCTGTTCAGAAAAATAAACTATATTTTAAAATTTAATAATATATTATTAAGAAACTTCACTAGTTTGGCTGAATTTCAGAATGGCCTTGTGTGAAAATAACTTTTTTCCCTAAGATCCAGCATAAAGGGGCAAAATCCTGCTTCACTGTGTCCACCAATTTAAACTGTTATATTCTGATCTTTACCCAGTCCTAATCACACACCCACATTGGAAGGCCTGTCTTAAACCAGACTTCAAAATCTCCATAAATATTCTAATTATATCCCTCTCCCTCTCAGGCCCTCTTAAAGGTTTCGTCTAAGCAGTGTTCTTTATTCAAGAAATGCACATTTGTTTTATCAACAGGTTGGTTTGCTGACATTTTGGGGAGCCAGAATTCAACAAAATGAATTTGAATTTAGAACTAATTCTAACATTAGCCAAACTAACATTCAAGTATGAGGGCAAAATAAAAATATGTGCCACTCACAGATGCTTTCTGAAAAAATTACTTGGAGATATATATAGCAAACTGAAAATAAATGTTAACGTATAGGACCTATGAAACAGTAATGAACAAAAAACAAAACAAAACTTAATGAGTCTAGATAATTATTGATTCATAGAAAGAGAACTAATGGTAATCTGGAATAAAATGCTAAATGATTTTTATATGGAGGTGGTTATGGGAAAGAATTACAAAATGAAGAATGGCATTTACAGACAAACTGGAGATATTAACTATAAGCTTTAATAAAAATATGTTTCACTAAGAGTGTTAAAATTTTAACAGTATTCACTAGAAAAAGAAAATGTTTGTAACTTTGGTACAGGTATGCCAAAAGAGATGAAGAAACAGGAAGTGAAAAAACCCAGAACCAAAAAAAAGCAATGACTCCAAATGTGATAGTAATCAAAATAAGTGTTGAAAAGATAGGTTATCAGTCACTGTATCAGCAGGAAAAAGCAGATTCAAAGGGTTACTTTGAAACAGAGTTTATTGAAGGGTCTGTTTGCAGAGATGAAGGCAAGGTTAGGGAACCAAATGGGGAAGCTATTACCATGCATAGGCTCAAAGATGCAAGGGGAAAGAGAAATGTTGCTAGAACCTAATGAGGGCTGGAAACTTAAGAAAGGGGCCACCTACAAAAAGTTGTGGCTTTAGGTAAAGGAACATAGATTCTGCCAAAACTCTAATGAGGCCAAGAGGGAACTTCACGTTTGCCTTACCCAAGAGCAAGCCAGAAGGCAAAGGGATCTAGGATATACAATCCATAAACATTAGCATCCCAAGTACACATAAAGCAAAAAAAAGAACAAATCTTCTGGGCCTACAGACTAACAGCACTGACAACAAACAGTTTTATATTGGTAAAAAATAAAAGGAAAAATTAGGATAAAATCAATTTTTACACTTGATGCAAGACATGGGACAGAAATGTTAAAAATAACACTGTAATACAAATGTTTGTTATCATGGAAACAGCCATGACCAGTTATTAGTATTAGACAAAATAGCATTTAAGTAAAAAATTAACTGGTATAAATACTGATATATTGACAAAAAGTACACCATCTTAAGAAGGTTTATGTATAACAATATACCGTCAAAATACATGATAGATGTTAAAAATGAAAACGGAAATTGGCAAATCCACAAAAAAGTGGGTAATATTTAATTTAGTTTTCTAGGAAATAAAGTAAGTGGACCAAAAAAATGAATAATGAAATCAAGAAAAATTCAACATCAGAAAAATTTAAGTGTAATTTATTATATCCACAAATTAAAGGCTAAAATGTTTTTCTAACATTTTCTTCTAGAATTCTTATAGTTTCATGCCTTATTGGCCTAGGCAAAGAATTTATGAAGAAGACACCAAAGGCAATCACAGCAACAACAAAAATAAATAAATGGGACCTAATCAAATTAAAAAGCTTCTGCACAGCCAAGGAAACTCATGGGAGCAAACACACAACCTACAGAATGGGAGAAAATATTCACATGCTACACATCCGATAAAGGTCTGGTAACTAGAATCTATATAGAACTCAGGAAAATCAGCAAGAAAAAAATCAAACAATCCTATCAAAAAATTGGCAAAGGACATGAGCAGAAACTTTTCAAAAGAAGATAGACTAATGGTCAACAAACATATGAAAAAATGCTCAACATCTCTAATCATCAGGGAAATGCAAATCGAAACCACAATGAGTTATCACTTATCTCCAGTGAGAACAGCTATCATCAAAATGATCAAAGATAACAAGTGTTGGCAAGGATGTTGAGAATAGCAAACACTTGTGCACTGTTGGTGGGAATATAAATTCCTACAGATGTTATGAAAAATAGTATGGGGGTTCCTCAAAAACCAAAATAGAATTACCACACAATCTAGCAATCTCACTTATGGGTATATATCTAAAGAAATTAAAATCAGTATGTTTAAGAGACATCTGTATTCCCATGTTCGTCGCAGTATTATTCATGTAGCCAAGAGTATGGAAGCAACCAAGGTGTCCATCATTATATGAATGGATAAAGAAAATGTGGTATATAATATACAATAGAATACTATTTAGCCTTAAAAAAGAAGGAAATTCTATCATTTATGACAACATGGATGAACATGGAGGACATTATATATGCCAAGTGAAATAAGCCAGGCCCAGAAAGACAAACATTGCATAATCTCATTTACATGTGGAATGTAAAAATGATTCTCTACTTACAGAAGTATAAAGTAGAATGGTGGTTACCTGAGGCTGGGGGGCTGGGGGGAAGTGTAGGTGATGAGTGGCAGGGATGGGGCAAAAGGAGAAGTTGGTCAAAGGACACAGAGTTTCAGTGAGACAGGAGGAACAAGTTTTAGTGATCTATTGCACAGCATGGTGACTATAGTTACTAATAATGTATTCTATATTTCACAATTGCTAAAATAATAGATTTTAAATGTTCTCACCACAAAAATAAATATGTGATGTGATGGGTATGTTAATTAGTTTGATTTAATCATTCTACAATGTATACATATATGACAATATCACATTTTATCCTATAATATATACAAGTTGTCAATTAAAAATACAAAATAAAATATTTTAAAAACTTTGCGAACTATGAATAGGATAAAACATCTTTAGTTAGACAAAGGTTATTATCCACAAACTTAAGCATCACAGTCAAACACTAGAAGCTTTCCCAATAAAATTAGGAACAAAAAAGTATGCTCACTATCATCTGTACTTTTCAGCATTATACAGAATTTATTATCCAAAATAACATGAAAAGAAAATGACATTTTAAAAAGAACTGTAAAGAAAGACACAGAATTATCATTATTAGTAAATGATATGATTGTCTAACCAGAAAAATCCCGGGGCAATAATTGAAAAACTGCTTGTCTCTCTTATTTAAATGCCCGGATACCTTTTTTCAAGATTCCTTGCCTTTAGAAGTCCCCCTTTACATGTTAGATGACATCTGGTTCTTATCACGTCACCCCAAGAGTAAGAATTAGGGCAAAGGAGAGCCACCATAATTATTTATGTAAGTAAATAATAATCTGCTCTGCTCTAGAAACCTTCTATTGGCATTCAGAATAATATTAATAAATATAGATATGAAAACTGAAAGATCAATAGCCTTTCTATAACCAATAAATAATTAGAAATGCAATAAAACTGTTCTAGTTAGTTTTAAAAGTTCGCACTCTGAGGTTTTTTTCTTCACTCTAAACAAATAGCAAGGATAGAGTAACACATAAAAAGGAGAACATTAAAAAGACTAAACCAAATAAACAATTCCAGGAAGTAAAAGTGGAACAGAAATGCAAAGTAGTAAAGTGGGCTGAAATTGGAGGCCTAGTAAGCACTAGATCTTTTGAAAGCAGGCAGAGGTAGACATGAGTTCAGATCCTGACCAGTTTTCAGATACATATGAATCTCAATGTACACAAAAACTATCTGAATATTGTTCATGACTATACTCTCAAACTAAATTTACACTGCAAAAATGACTACCTTACATTTAGTCATGTGCCATCATGCTCTATGGAAACTCATTTCATAAGGGACTTTACTTCATATTCTTTTCTGGATATTCCCCATTTAGATTAGTAGATAATCAAGTTTTAAAAATCTACACACATATATATGTATATAATTTTAGGATCTGAAAATTGTACTTACTTTTTTAGCACATCAAACATGCTTTTTTCTACATTTACTAGCCACTGTTCTACAGCACTTCTTACACGAATTTTCCTAAAATGTTTCAAAAATATTATTATTAAGAATTATTTTAATTCATATTTCAGTCCTTTGGTATGCCTGTAGCCTAAGTTTTCTACATACTTCTATAATATTCATGGGCCATTATAATATTTGTATCTAATGCCATCTTTAGGTTTTTCTAGATCTTAATTTGGAAAACCATGCAGAAAACATATTATCCTGCTTTAGGAAATTCTGATATCAAAACCATAAATTTATACACTAAATTAGAATGCATCCAAGAGTTTGAAGATTACTTACTTTGCTTTTAATTAAAGCAAAGATGAGAAGATTATGCACCGAGGGGTGTATGGAAAGGCAAAAGTGTATTTGCATAAGGATATCATCTTTGAAGAAATAGTTTGCTTAGCAAACTTTTATGAAATATCAGAAATTTCAAAGGAGAGGTTTTAAATAATGAGGTTGTATGAAGTCTAAAGATTTAGGTTGTAACGTTTATCGTACTTGGGCAGCACAAGACATTCTCCTTCAGCAGATATGAGCATTTTTACAGCAGGAGGGCCAATTTCTTGTTTCCATATCAGTAATTGTTTTATATTTTCAAAACATTGCACAAGATGAGGCTGTGAACCAGAAACAAATGTCAGTAACATTATTAAATCCTGACCTGGTCAGGAAATAATATTGCTGAACAGAGAATAATGTTATTACCTGTACAGCCTCAGGATTTCTGCTATCAGCTAGAATATCAAGAAGTTCAGCATTGCTAAGAAAGTAAAATCTTGGGAAAATAACTCTTTTAATTTCAAGGTAGTCCTGTCCAGAACCAAAAGAAATGCAATTCAGAATATATGTTTAATCATGATATGAATTACATTGACATTTGGGCCTATATTTACAAACAAAGGCCACAATATGAAAGTTATAGTATACATAGTAGTTATCAGTCAAAATAACTTTCCATGCTTAATGAAAGTTATACTTAAAAAGCTAAAATTTTTTAATAAAGCAAAACTAAAATGAAAACAAAAATAAATGAAAAGCTCCCACCCTTTACACAATACTCTATTTTATTATTGACCATTAATAAAGCACTGTATTTGGGTATTGTCAGCATTGCTTTCCAATGTTTTCAACTTTCTGCTTTTATTTCCTATAGGTGAAGTTATCACCTTAGAGAATAAGTTATCATTTCACAGATGACCTTACATTCTACTGTGCAGAGAATTTCTACATTTTCCACTGCTCCTCATAAGTTAGAGGCATTGGCCAGGCGCGGTGGCTCACGCCTGTTATTCTAGCACTCTGGCAGGCCGAGGCGGGCGGATTGTTTGAGCTCAGGAGTTCGAGACCAGCCTGAGCAAAAGCGAGACCCCGCCTCTACTAAAAATAATTAGAAAGAAATTAATCAGCCAACTAAAAATATATAGAAAAAATTAGCCGGGCATGGTGGCGCATGCCTGTAGTCCTAGCTACTTGGGAGGCTGAGGCAGTAGGATCGCTTGAGCCCAGGAGTTTGAGGTTGCTGTGAGCTAGGCTGATGCCACAGCACTCACTCTAGCCCGGGCAAAAGAGTGAGACTCTGTCTCAAAAAAAAAAAAAAAAGTTAGAGGCATTAACACCAGTCTTAAGTCTTTCCTTCTTTTCAGAGGAAGAAAGACACATTCAGTTATGCCACAGTAGGATACCCTTGATTTATTTATGACTCTCATATACCTTCAACTTCTCCCTTGCAACATGTCTCCCCCTTAAATTGCTTTCATTAAAAAATATATAAGAAGTCCTCCTCCTTTAGCTGCTGTCTACTTGCCTATCTTATTTCCACAAAAGTTCCTGAAAAGATAGTCTGTAAACTCAAAATCTTTATTTACTCATCTCTCAGTCATCTCACACTCTGCCATCTGGCTCCTGCTGTTACCAAATTTACCTGGAGATTTTTAGTCATGTTACATGATATTTCCATAGCATTTAACTCTGCTGATTCTGCCCTTTGTTTTGACTTCTGGAATTTCACTCTCTTTTATCCCTCAGCCACTTTTTATCATTTTCCCTCAAAAGTCCCTTTTGTCCTCTACACCTTAAGGTTGACATCTCTTGGGTTCCATCTTCATCACTCTTCCAACTCGTCATGTTCTTCTTGAGCTATTTTATACATACTTGCTCTTCAGTTCAGATCACTTCTCTCTGCCCCAGACCTGTATAACCAATTGCTACTTGAAGATGTTCGTTTTAATGTCGTATAAATATTAGATTTTCAACATGAACCAAACTTACTTGTTTCCACAGAAGCCTCCTCGTCTTCTAGCTCCTATCTCTGTGTGTGATTATCTTCCACTTTTTTGGGCAAGCCAGAAACCTAGGCACAATCTGGGACCTCTTTCTTTTTATCCTCTACTTACCTATCTGATGCTCCTGGCTCCACCTTCTTTCATCCTCACCATGGCCTTATATGTTAGCTGCCAATATTTCTAGTGGTTTTTAAATATCTATTCTCACTGTCCCCAATCCACAATCTATGCTTCTTTCCAGAGAGATATTTCTGAATTAAATTACTTCATTTTCTGGCTTAAAATCCTTCAGTGGATACTCATTAAAGTCAAAACCCATTGTGATATTCAAAGCCCTTTACCCTTTGTTCCCTTCTTCCCTGGAGAATCTCATGTCTCACCAACTTTCCCATTTGGCAACCTATGTTCCCTCTGTATCATCCTGCTCACAGATGCAGAAATGTGCCATACTCACTAATGGCTCCACATCTCTGTTCTGTTTACCTTTGCCTAGGATGCTTTTACCACCCACCCACCCACCTCCACTGAGACTCTTTTACCTAGATAACACCTACTCTTCTTTCGAGACCCAGGTGAGTTATCACTTCCCCCAGGCTGTGGGAATTTCTTCTCTTTAATATGGCCACACCATCCAACCTATTGTAGCATACGTCAGATTGTAATATCGCCTTACTTTTTTGTTTCCTAAAATAGATTTTGAGTTATGTAATAGCAGGGAATATGTCTTTTATTTTTGTAGTTCCAGCACATAGCAGTAGTGCCTAGTACCCAAGTAGGTGCTCAATACATTAATAAATGGAAGACTACTGGTCTGTAATGATCCTCAGTAACAGTCCAAAGAAGTGCCAGAAATAATTGGAAGGCTTATCTGAATGACGGCCTAGCAATTATTAACCAGAACCACTCTAGGCGTGGCTCCTCATTCCTGCCCCAGAGCATGGATTTGAATAGAAGAGGCCCTGCCTGGGCAGTTTCCTTTCTGTTGGCTGTGACTGCTTATAGGCATTTTGGAGGAATCATTACAACCCTGTGGCTTGTGTTTAGCAAGGGAAAGTGATGAATACCTGAATAAAGATCTTAGTTTATGAATGGAAGTGAATATGTGCACCAGGCATTGCTAATATTAAGATACAGTTTTAAAGGATATATATGACTAGCTGACAGTTTAATGTTCTGGCAATGTATAAATATATGGACTCAGTAATTTAATTTATGAAGTCATCAAAATATTCAACTTTTGATGAATTTATGAACTTAATGGTGCTAATAAAAATAATTAACCTTTATTAAGGACTTTCTTTGTGACAGCTGTTGTGCTTTAAATGCATCATCTCATTTAGCACAAAGCCCCTCAAGGTAAGGTTATTTTTGACTTAAAGATAAGGAAACTTGGGCAATCAAAAGTTTGGTACTTTGCCAGCAGTCATTTAGATTAGTCCAACCACTTTTTCTTTTGATAATATTTTCATTAACATTCTAGATAGGGAGAGTTTGAAAACTTGTTGGCAGCTGGAAGAGAGAAGAAAATCTGCATTGAAATTAGTTTCTGTAGTAGATTACATTACTTTACTTTTACTTTACTTTTGTAAAGTTAAATAATTCCCCACTATAGTATTGCTATAGTTTTACCTCAAGACTTTTCTTTATATTTTCAAGATGTATATTGCAATTTTGCAAAATTTCCAGGACTCCTGCAGAAGTCATTATTTGCAAAGCATTCAGTTTGTTTTGTATTTTTGACATTACTTTTTTCCACATGGAAATCACCTGAGCAAAAAGTTTTGTTTCTGCTGGGAGCTGCCTTTAGAAATAAAATTGGATGAAATTTTATTTTCTGAAGGCCTTATAATTAAAATCTATAATCTAAATGCATTTTCCACAGAATATTGTTTAACTTTTAAAATGTTTCAGTATATTTTTCATGGTCAATCATTAATTAAAGATACTTTTCGAGTGTCTGGTATGTACCAGATGTACATAGTAGGAAATCCTAGGATAAATCAGACATACAATCATCATTTAACCAGATTATACTTAGTGTGTGGTGGAAGATAGATATATACAAGTTCTACATAAAGTAAGAAATGATTTATGTCCTAATAAATGTAATTCCAAAAGGGCTACTGAAATTCTAGAGAAAAAAATGGGATCTGGAGAGAGCTTCTTGGAGAAGAAGATATTTGATTTAGGTTTTAAAGGAGGAGTAGGGCTTTGATGTAAAGAAAAGCAGAGATGACATTCAGCCTAGGTGCAAGAGAATAGAGATGTGTATAAAAAAAATTGAAATGATCTAATCTTAGAGGGTAAGGAAATGTAAGCCTGCTGTCAGCCTTGGTATTGAAATTTTCCTTTGGAGAATATTATCATTATTTTCTCCCCTTGGAAAAAGGAAGCAAAACCCACATGTGGCATGGTAATCCACTGATACATTAATTTTAATTTTGTTTCTGCTGCTATGGGAGTTGAATGAGGGAAGTATTTCTAAAAGTTGCTTGTTCTAGTTCTTTCACTTTCTCTCTTCACCTATATTTTCCACCCCCACTCCCATCCCACCCTAGCCCCAACCTGATTCAAGCTCTTCTTGGCTTAGAAGTTGAAAGGGGAGGAAATTAGAGGGACATTTCATTCAGCCAGTGTTACTCTGGATCCTCTTTTCCCTCTTGAATGCTCTCTGTGATGGCAGATATCCATGGGATATATTGCTGGGGGGTTTTAGAGTCCCCCCAACAGGAACCTCTCTATCACACAATTCCTTGGCTTTCTCCAGCTAAGCTCTTAAAATCATTCCTCAAGCTCTTGTTCTAAGTGGTACACTTCTGGGATTTTCTTGTTCTGGCAAGCAGCCATTTTTGGGTGGAAATCTTTCAAGATGACTCTAGCTTAGAACCTTCTACTGTGTCTCCATGGTCTAAGTCAGCATTTCTTTACTTCAGCACTGTTGATGTTTTGGACCAGATAATTCTTTGTTGTGTGTATGTGTGTGGGAGAGGGCTTTCCTGTGTACTATAGGGTGTTTAACAGCATCCTGGACTATACCCACTAGATGCCAGTAGTATCCCCTCAGTTGTGACAAGTAAAAACATTTCCAGACTTTGAAAAATGTCCCCTAGAGGGCAAAATCACCTATGGCATAAGATAATCATGTATTCTTGCACTTCTTCCTTGCCCTGCTAGTAAAGGCTCCTTCAGAATTCTTCGGAGGAGAGACAAGCCCTAGTTTCTAATGCTCCTACACTCCAGGGCAATATATGTCAAACTCTCCCAAGAATCCTCCCACCATCATCCCATTCCCCATCTTGGGTGATGGGGCAAAATTTCTGTAGCTAAGCAAAAATACCATCAAAGAAGAGACTTAAATCTCCTTCTGTTAAGTGCCCTTCCAGTCTTGCTGGGAGGTTCTAGTGCAGCCCTCACAGTTAGTTTGTAGTGGGGGTGAATGGCAAGCATTCTTTACTTTCATTAATTCCCCTTAAAGAATTTTCCCCTTTAATGAATCTCTTCTCCCTTTCTTCTTTTTCGTTTTCCATTAACTAAGAAATATTTAGTAAAATGTAGTACTAAAATTTGAACTTAAGGCTCAAAATTGTTGCATCCATAAAGGGTATACTCCGTAGGTGTGTAGTTTCGCCTTTGAGGACTCTGGAAATAACTACAAATTAATAGAATAGAAGGGAAGGGGGCTTCAAGATGGCTGACTAGAGGCATCTAGTACTCACCTTCTCCACAAAAAAGAACCAAAGTAGCAAATACATAATCACACTTCAAATAGATCATCTAAGAGAGAACACTGGAATTCAACAGAGAAGTGACAGAAAACACCTAAAGCAAGGAAAGAGAGGGAATCGAGGCCAGGATGAGCTGGGAATCTGGAGAGGCTCCCTAATGTGGGGAAAAGGGAAGTGAGTGACCCCCAGCTATACACATTCCCACTACAGACTTAAGCAATGCTATTCAGGAGATAGCTCCTACCCTTGTGGGGCCCAAGACTAACACAGGGAGCTACATGTAGACCACACAAAAGTACTGCTTCAGAAAGGGAGTTTATGCTGTGTCCCACCTCCTCCAGCCCAAAGCAGCTACAGTAAAGTGACATATTGAGAGCCCAGCCCCCATCAGACTACATCCCACCCAGAGGCTAAACAGCCCCTGCATCTCTACATCCCTGGAGCCCCAGTGATATTCACTCCCTGCAGCTACTGCTGTGGTTGGCTGCTGCTGCCAGGGCTAAAGTACAAGCCATTGGCAACAACCCTATTGTCCTCAGCAGTGAAACAGCTGCACATTTTCATGCACCCTGAAGATAAACTCCCCTGCCCTCAGCCACTGCTACCTCAGGATGCTGTTGCCTCACCGCACCACAGGGCCAAAGTGCAAGCAAAGTGAGCACTCCCCAGGTGCCTGCATACAGCTGCTACCACTGATAGCAACTCTGAGTTCCCCAGGAAAAAGGCTGTAGAGCAGCCACTGCTGTCCTCATCTAAGCATTGTGCCTGGGGATCACCCTGCCCCTGCCTACCATAGCCAGCACCTGCACACACCCCTGGGGGACCTGAGGACAGGGTATGCCAAACTTGGCTGCCCCCTCACCCCCTCAGGGCCCAAGCATGCCATCCTGGGGCCTGGTGACTGCCTAGCCCAGTCCACCACCATTGGCATCTGAGCACACCTCCCAGGGGCCTAAGATTGGGTCCACCCAACCCACTTCTATACTGTCCTGGTACATCCAAGTACTTCTCTTGGTTAACACAGGTCAAGCACACAAACAAATGGAACAAATAGAAAGACATCCCATGCTCATGGATCAGAAGAATTAATATTGTTAAAATGACCATACAGCCCAAAGCAATCTACAGATTCAGTATAATCCCTATGAAAGTACTAATGTCATTTTTTATAGAAATAGGACAAAACAATCTTAAAATTTGTATGTAACCAAAAAATAGCCCCAATAGCCAAAGCAATCCTAGCAAAAGAACAAAGCTGGAGGCATCACTCTACCTGACTTCAAAATCTATTACAAGGTTAGAGTAACCAAAACTCTAGTTTGGTATTGGTATAAAAATATATATGTAGATCCATGGAACAGATATAAATTTACTTATTTATAGCCAACTGATTTACAACAAAGGTGCCAAGAATATACACTGGGGAAAGGACACTCTCTTTAGTAAATGGTGCTGGGAAAATTAGATATCCATATGCAGAAGAAACTAGACCCCTATCCCTCACCATATACAAAAATCAACTCAAGATAGATTAAAGATTTAAACTTAAACTACTAGAAGGAAACACCAGGGAAATACTCCAGACATTGGCCTAGGCAAAGAATTCATGACTAAGATCTCAAAAGCACAGGCAACAAAAACAAAAATAGATAAATGGGATTATATTAAACTAAAAAGCTTCTGTACAACAAGGAAACAATCAACAGCCAGAGTGAAGAGACAACCTATTGAATGGGAGAAAATATTTGCAAACTATTCATATGACAAGGGACTAATATCCAGAATACACAAGGAGGAAGTCAAACAACTCAACAGCAAAAAACAAAACAAAACAAATAATCCCCTTAGGAAGTGGGCAAAGGACATGAATAGACATTTCTCAGTAAAGACATACAAATGGCCAAAAAAAATATGAAAAAATGCTCAATATCACTAATCATCAGGAAAATGTAAATGAAAACCACAATGAGATATCATCTTACACCAGTCAGAATGGCTATTATCAAAAAGTCAAAAAATAACAGATGTTGGTGAAGATTTAGAGAAAAGGAAACACTTATATATGTTGGGGGGGAGGGGATGCAAATCAGTACAACCTCCATGGAAAACAGTATAGAGATTTCTCAAAGAACTAAAAATAGAACTACTATTCAATCCACCTATCTTATTACTGGGTATTTACCCAAAGGAAAAGAAATCATTATATCAAAAAGATACCTGCAAAGACTTGGAGTCAACCTAAGTGTCTATCAATGGATGATCTGATAAAAAAATGTGGTATATGTACACCATGAAATACTACTTAGCCATAAGAAGGAATGAAATTATGTCTTTTGCACCAACATGAATGGTACTGAAGGCCATTATCTTAAGTGAAATAACTCAGAAACACAAAGTCAAATACTGCATGCTCTCACTTATAAATGGGAGATACATAATGTGTACACATGGACATAGAAAGTGGTATATAATAGACATTGGAGACCTAAAACAGTGGGAGTTGGGAGGGGCGTGAGGGATGAGAAAGTACTTAATGGGTGCGATGTATGCTATTTGGGTGATGGCTACACTAAAAGCCCAGACTTTACCAGTACACAATATATCCATATAACAAAACTGCACTTGTATCCCCTAAATCTATAAAAACAAAGAAAAAGGAAAATGTGGCATATATACATAATGGAATACGATTCATTTATTAAAAAAAGAATGAAATCATGTTATTTGCCGCAACAAGAATAGAACTGGATGTCATTATGTTAAGTGAAATAAAGTCCAGGACACAAAGACAAATATCACATGTTCTCACTCATATATGGGAACTAAAACTTTGATCATGGAGGTAGAGAGTAGAGTGATAGATACCAGAAGCTGAGAAGGGTATGTGGGTGGGGGTGGGGGGCTAAAGAGAGGTTGGTTAATGGGTGTGAGTATACAATTAGAGAGAATAAGCTCTAATGTTCAATAGCAGACTAGGGTGACTATACTTAACAATAATATACTGTATATTTCAAAATACTAATAGCTCGAAGAGAGAATTGAAATGTTCCCAGCATGTAGGAATGATAAATATTAACAATGATGGATACTCTAAATGCCCCGACTTTATCATTACACAGTCTCTGAATGTAAGAAAATATCACATGTACCCAATAAATATGTACAGTTATTATGTAGCAATAAAAAATAAGAAAAAGTATAATGGAAGTATCACAGGCATTCATATGATAAGAAGTATACATGTATAATAAAAATGGACACCATTCCCTATAAAGCAATACTCTAATCTAAACAGTTTTCTTTTGTAAATTTCTAATGGCTTCTCTTAACCACCAAAATAAAGTTCAAAATACTTAACATGATATTCAACATCTTCCATTGCTCTAATAGGCCTTTCAAATACACACCCCACATTTTCCTACCTTATTTCAAAATGGACCCTAGATCCATATAAAGCGTAGAATTATTTTTTCCAGATCTGTGAAGAATGATAATGGGATTTTGATAGGAATTGCATTAATTCTGTAGATCACTTTAGGTAGTATGGACATTTTAACGATATTGATTCTACCAATCCATGAGCAAGGTAGGTTTTTCCATCT